TGCTATAGCCCCAGTTGGGGTCAGGAATCTGTTCCTTAGAGCGGTCATCCTCCTCCAGCTGCACGATTAACTCTGCTTTGGTGAACTTTCCAATGCTCAACCCTCTCTTTTTGCACAGGGTGACAATGTCCTTCTTAAGGAGACGGTGACAGGCCATCACTCCACTCCTCCCAAGTTGTTGTGGACTCACAGGCCCATGTGTTCTCAGCTCCCCACGGTTTCTAGGGAGAACCCCTAGTGTGCCAGCCCTTCTCGAGGTCACCACCTCTTTGCCAGGGTCGAGCTGCAGACTCCTCCGCCCCTGAGACTGCTCACTGCAGTCCCCAGGGGGACCCCATTACTGCACAGTACTTCTCGCTGGTCACACACTCCCAGGGGTTAACCGCCCCCCGAAACCACTCCTTTCTGAGCCTTCAGCAGGCCTGGTCCTCGGCAATCCCCCTTCGTGTTACTGCTCCCCAGTCACTTACTGCAGGAAGCGCCATCCACGGGGTGCAGTACATCCCACCGCTGCCACCAGTTGTCACGGAGTCCCTGGGCGATGCTCTGGAACTGCTCCCCATGAAGTCAGTCAGGACTCTGGGGTAGTCACCTTTCTGTGAGCAGCCTGTCTTCAGGACACACAGCTCACACAGCTTCCACCTTCCTGGGTCTGACCTCGGAGCATTCAGCATCCTCTGCCTCTCCGTGCACTTCCCACAGCGAGTCCGCTCAGGCGGTGCTCCTGGGGAAGCCAGAGGGTCCTGCACCCCAACTTCGCAGTCAGACGTGACTCTCAGCCAGCCAGTAAAACAGAAGGTTTATTAGACGACAGGAACATGGTCTAAAACAGAGCTTGCAGGTGCAGAGAACGGGACCCCTCAGCTGGGTCCATTCTGGGGGGCAGTGAGCCAGACAACCACGTCTGCACTTCACTCCATGTCCCAGCCAGCCCCAAACTGAAAACCCCTCCAGCCCCTCCTCCTCTGGGCTTTGTTCCTTTCCCGGGCCAGGAGGTCACCTGATTCCTTTGTTCTCCAACCCTTCAGCTCTCACCTTGCAGGGGGGGGAAGGGCCCAGGCCATCAGTTGCCAGGAAACAGGGTGTCGGCCATTCTCTGTGTCCAGACTCCTGCACACACATGCCCTCTAGGGCACTGCAATGATCATACACCCTTACTCCACCCCCTAGATACTTAAGAACTGCCTAGGGGAAACTGAGGCACCCCCACACTATTCAGAGGAAACATTAAGAACAGTCCCACTTCGTCACACCCTCCCCTCCAGTGTGTCTACCACTCCTCCCAGTTTAGTATCATCCGCAAAATTTGGGTCGGTCTGCCCAGCGCTCTACGGCTCTGCCAATCGACGCCCAGCCAGCAGCACAGGGCCCCCAGTGCCCGCCGGCCTGGGACAGAGTCTGCCAGCAGGGACCCTCCCTCCTCCGTGCGGGGGAAGGGCCTGGCCCACAGAGAGCCTGGGGCTCAGCGCTGACTCGGGAACACGCCCGGGAACCTCCACCCCAGGCCCTGCAGCGCCGGGGAATGTCTCCCATCTCAGCACTGGAGAAACGGGCCACTGGGCAGCGCCTTTCTCCCAGGAGCCCGGCCCAGCGCCATCGCTCCCGGCCCGGGCCTGCGAAACGGAAGAAATGAACACTCAGCTGGAAGCCAAGGGCCAGGGCTAGCCCAGGGGCGAATCCAGGCGATCGGGGCAGCTTCTCTGCAGGACAGGGCTTGTGCTCCTCTCCCTGCCGGGAGCGACAGCACCGGATCTGTGCCCCCGGCCGGATCTGCAAGAGGGCCCCGCGCCCCACAGCTCTGCGCTATGGGGCTGGATCTCCACTACGGCCCCGCGCCCCGCGCCCCGCACCCCTCCAAGCTATGGGCAGGATCTGGCCAGGACAAGCAGGGAGGCAGGACGATAAATTGAAAGCTGCTGGCACCTAGTGGCTATTGAAGAAACTCTCGCGGAAACTGGCAGGATTTGGAGGTGGAGACGCGGGTCCCTCTTAGCTCAGAGGTTCAGGGCTCCTGAGGGTCCTTTATTCCAGCATCTCTATGGCTTTGTGCCTCGCTGCCACGTTCAGACAGTCCCCACGCTCGCTGGATCTGTGCGCAGGGACCCAACGCCCTTTGCAAACACTCTGTGATCCCCAGCAGGTCGCTACAGACTGTCCCAGCCAACTGGGGAAACCGAGGCACAGAGCGAGGGCACAATAACCCCTGCTGGCGATCAGTGGCATTGCAAGGACAGGCTGATCCGATAGACACGAGTGCGCGCTGCCCCCGCCCGCCCCACAACCATTGAACAGCTGGGCACCGACTCCCCACGAGGGCTGAGAAAAGGATCCAAGAGCAGGGGCGCTTCCAAGGAAATATCCCAGTCCCTGCCCCGGCCCTAAAATAACTCCTGGCGACATCCCGGGCCACGTCCCCCGGGGCTTCGCTTCACCCGAGGGAATCAGCTGCACTGAGCTCGCCGAGCTCCCCCACCAGAGGTTTTGGCCCCCGCTGTTTCCCTCGCACCTTCCGCCCCAGGCTCCCTACGAACCTCTCACGGCTGCGGCAAGCCCTGAATGTCCCGGGCCTGGGAGCTTAGCAGAGCCGAGCTCACGGGGGCCCAGCGGCGCCACGCACCGGGGCCCACGGGCGCTGCCCCAGCTGAGCCCAGCCCCGGCCCCCGCTGACGCTGCAGGAGGGACGGAGGGGGCAGCGCCCCAGTGTGGAGCTCGCCCAGGGCACCCACACTCCTGCCGCGGCGAACAAGACGCACCAGGCGCCCTTGGCTGGCCAACGCGGGTAATGGTCCTTACCCAGCCGCGGCGGCCCCGGGAGAAAGAGAGGAAGCCCAGCATCTCCCACGGGGCTCGGCCCGGCTCTCCGCCTGGGCCTCCCTGTGGGCGAGTCGCTCGCGGCTCCTTGGGGCGACACCAAGGCCGCTGCGGGCGTAGAGCGGCGGATGGGCCGGCTGCAGCACAGGGTCCGCGGGCGCCTGGGGAGGATGGAAGATCAGCTGCTCGGGGTCCCCAAGGGCCCGCAGCCTGCCCAGGAGCAGCCCCATGGCGCTGACCCCGCGGCCCGCACGCTGCCTGCCCGGCCCGTGGGCCTTTACTGACAGCGGCCTGGCCTCCCATTGGCCGGCGGCCGGCGCCGGGCGTGGCCGGGGGAAGCCCGGGCGGCCCTGCTGGCCGCGGACCCGCTGGCCCGGGCGCGCTCTGGCACGGCCGGGGCCAGGGGGGCGCGGCAGCCAGTCAGCTGGGCAGGGATAAAGAAAGCTCCCTGGGCTGCTCAGGAGGCCACACCCGGGTCGTTTGCGCCAGGCTGGGCTGGGCAGGCGGCGGGGCCTGGGCTGCTGGACACGGACGGTCCCCTCTGAGCCCAGCGGTGGGGCCTGTCTGCCGTCGGGCCCCGGGGGGCAGCTCGCTTCCCTCGTTCCGTCGCGCTCCCCCTGCTTGTGGGGGGAGGCCTGGGAACTGGGGGATGGAAGGTGGGCCCGACGCCAAGGTGAGGGGCCTGGGCCTCCTGGATACTCATCCGTAGAACCTGTGAGGTGCGGCTGGAAATTGGGGTGGCAGCTGGAGAGATCAGGGCTCCCCTCACCCCCTGCGAGCTAACGGGACTGCGGGGCGCTCGGGGTGGTGTTCTCAGGGGGTGGGGAAGGTAGGGGCTCCCTAGCCATCTGGGCCTCCCATGGGTGCCTCGCCCCAGCGTCCTGGGCAGCCCCCAGTCCTCGGGCCAGCCTGCTCCGTTACTCTAAACTTCCCCAGCAATTCGAGTGTGGGGGGGGCAGCTGCCCTCCCTGAGCTCTGTTGGCTTCAGCAGAGTTGGAGCAGGCCTGAGCTGCTGCCCGGTGTCTCAGGGTGGCAGGCGGCGCTGAACGGCCCCCCCCGGCTGCCGTGGGCTGGGTGAGTGCTGGCGGCGCAGGCTGCCCCGAAGCTTCATCCCACCAGAGTAAACAGGAGCTGCTGGGCTAATCCCTGGTGCTGTGCCCGGGGGCACTGCTTCCAGAGGGAGTGGGGAGGGGAACCCTGGGCCAGGCATCACCCCTCTGCTCTCCCATGGAACCTCTCGCCCTGTATCGGCCAGGAGCGAAGTCAGTCCTGGCCCAGCCTCTGCCCCGAGCTCAGACTCGATTTAGAGCTGAGGGGAACTTGGTTTTTCTTTATAGCAAAAATCCCCAATGGCTGGAGACGGGACACTAGATGGGGAGGACTCTGAGTTACTTCAGAGAATTCTTTCCTAGGGATCTGCCTGGTGGTCTTGTCCACATGCTTGGGGTCTAACCGATCACCATACTTGGGGGTGGGAAGGAATTTTCCCTTGGGTCAGATTGGTAGAGACCTTGGGGTGTTTTCACCTTTCTCTGCAGCTGGGGCAGGGGTCGCTTTCAGGTTTAAACTAGCGAAAATAGTGGCTTCTCTGCAACTTGAAGTCTTTAAACCGTGATCGGAGGAGTTCAGTAACTCAGCCAGGGGTTAGGGTCTATCACAGGAGTGGGTGAGGGAGGTTCTGTGGCCGGCCAGGTGCAGGAGCTCAGAGGAGATGATCAGGATGCTCCCTTCTGACCTTACTAAGGTACCTGAGTAAGAACGGACATTACCATTTTAAACCTAGCCAGTGTCCCCTGAGTGACTTGCCACAAGAGGTCAGAACAGGGTGAGAGCCCCGGGCATAAGGGGCAGGACAGAGGAGAGCCCCCGGCATCGTCCCTCGTGGGCAGCACCAGCCCCCCAGTCCCCAGCCGGAAGGCGGCGGTGCCCACGGGGGAGCGCCAGGAGAGGATCATTTTGACGTGCCGGGGGATTCCCCCGGGGGCCCCCCTGGGTCGCGCTCTGATTGGCTGCCGCGCTCCCCTAGCCCCGGCCGTGTCAGAGCGCGCCGCGGCCAGCTGGTCCGCGGCCAGCAGGGCCGCCCGGGCTTCCCCCGGCCACGCCCCCCGCCGGGCCGCCGGCCAATGGGAGGCCAGGCCGCTGTCGCTAAAGGCCTACGGGCCGGGCCGGCAGGCAGCTGGGCCAGCGCCATGGGGCTGCTCCTGGGCAGGCTGCGAGCCGCGCTGGGCGGGTTCTCCGGGCTGCAGGCTCGGGTCCTGCTGCTGGGGCTGGACCACGCCGGGAAAACCCCCTTCCCCGGCGCTACCGGCTGAAGCTGAACGAGACGCTCCCCACCATCCCCACCCTGGGCTTCCACGTGGAGACGGTGGCGCCCGTCCGCGACGTGCCCGTCACCCTGTGGGACGTGCGGGGCCAGGCCCGGATCAGGGCCCTCGGGCGACCCTACCACGGCCACACGGACGGGCCGGAGTTCGCGGCGGGCAGCGCCGACGCGCAGCGGCTGGGGGAGGCCGGGTGGGAGCTGGGACCCTGCTGGAGGCTGAGGACTTGTAGGGGGTGCCCCGGTGCTGCTGGCGGACAAGCAGGACCTGCCCGGTGCCCGGTCCTGCGCGGAGCTGGCGGAGGAGCTGGGCTTGAGGAAGCTGCGTGGGCTGCTGCGCCGAGAGCGGGCCGGGGCTGCCCGGGGCGCTGGAGAAGCTGGCTGAGCTGGTGAAGCGCTACCGGGGGGCCCGGGGGCTCTGAGAGCGCAGGCTGGAGAACAGGCCCCAAGGCCAGCCTGGGTCGCCCCTTGGCACGTTTCCAAAGAGGGGCCGTTGTGCTGCCCCCACGCCCGAGAGACGCCCCCGATGAGCAGCCGCAAGCCGCGATGTCCCCCGTCAGGTCCCGCCTCCGAGCTCGCCAGGGCTGCGGCGCCTGCCAACGCGGGAGCTGGGCCGGACACTGGCCAGCGCTGTGGCCTGGGTCCCTTCTGCAGCCATTGGCTTGGACTGAGACTGGCAGCTCCTTGGGGCAGGGCCTGGCTCCGCGCCCTGTGTCCCTACAGCGCCCTGGGGCCTGCTCCCAGCCTGGGGCTGCCCGGGGCGATGGTGCGCCAGGAGAGCCCGACCGGCAGACGCTGGCCAGCCCGCTTGGACCAGCAGCCCCCTGGATCCCTGCGCACAGATCCAGCGAGCGTGGGGACTGTCTGAACGGGGCAGCGAGGCACAAAGCCATAGAGATGCTGGAATAAAGGACCCTCAGGAGCCCTGAACCTCTGAGCTAAGAGGGACCCGCGTCTCCACCCCCAAATCCTGCCAGTTTCCGCGAGAGTTTCTTCAATAGCCACTAGGTGCCAGCAGCTTTCAATTTATCGTCCTGCCTCCCTGCTTGTCCTGGCCAGATCCTGCCCATAGCATGGAGGGGTGCGGGGCGCGGGGCGCGGGGCCGTAGTGGAGATCCAGCCCCATAGCGCAGAGCTGTGGGGCGCGGGGCCCTCTTGCAGATCCGGCCGGGGGCACAGATCCGGTGCTGTCGCTCCCGGCAGGGAGAGGAGCACAAGCCCTGTCCTGCAGAGGAGCTGCCCCGATCGCCTGGATTCGCCCCTGGGCTAGCCCTGGCCCTTGGCTTCCAGCTGAGTGTTCATTTTTCTTCCGTTTCGCAGGCCCGGGCCGGGAGCGATGGCGCTGGGCCGGGCTCCTGGGAGAAAGGCGCTGCCCAGTGGCCCGTTTCTCCAGTGCTGAGATGGGAGACATTCCCCGGCGCTGCAGGGCCTGGGGTGGAGGTTCCCGGGCGTGTTCCCGAGTCAGCGCTGAGCCCCAGGCTCTCTGTGGGCCAGGCCCTTCCCCCGCACGGAGGAGGGAGGGTCCCTGCTGGCAGACTCTGTCCCAGGCCGGCGGGCACTGGGGGCCCTGTGCTGCTGGCTGGGCGTCGATTGGCAGAGCCTAGAGCGCTGGGCAGACCGACCTTTGGGGAGGTTGGCAGAGGGAGGCTGTTAGTTCCCCTGTCCAGGCCAAACCCCGATGTGGGCAGCTCCCTTCCCCCGGCTTGGTCACTGCAGGGTGGGATTCTCCTTCACTTCCTGTCCCAAACGGCTGCGGGGGGGGGGGAGGTCCCTGAGATCTCAGACCTGCCCCTAGCTTCCCCCAGCAAGCAGCTCAAAGCCCCTGTAGCCGGCGCTGATCCGGGAGAGGGACACAGAACCAGGCCCCTGGTGTGTCCTGGGCTGGGCTCCGGGAGCTTTTGTCAGCTTGGTCTCCGCCTCCGGCCTGCTGGGCACCCAGGAATGCAGGGAACCCTCTGCCTGGCAGGTGCCCAGTGCCCTGCGGCACGACGGACCCGGGCAGCTCCCTGGGCTGCTCAGGAGGCCACACCCGGGTTGTTTTTGCCACGCTGGGCTGGGCAGGCAGCGGGGCCTGGGCTGCTGGACATGGACGGTCCCCTCTGAGCCCAGAGGTGGGGCCTGTCTGCCGTCGGGCCCCGGGGGACAGCTCGCCTCGCTGTTCCCTCGCGCTCGCCCTGTGATCTCCATCAGCATTGGCAGAATCAAAGCGCTGTTTAAAATGCTGATAGTTTCCGACCTCATGGCTGTGAAGAAACCCAGAGCTGGGCTGAGCCTGCCACTGACTGGCTGCCAGGTCCCACTTCCCTCCCTGTGCTGCGTGTTAGTGCGGTGCCATGTACCTGAGACATAGCTAACCCACCCCAGAGGTGGCTGCATTTGAGGGCCAGGTGCAGCAAAGCCCGGGTATAGCCATGGGGCTTCCAAACTCTGAGTGCTTCTTGGGCTGGAAGAGCCCAGACGATGTTACTGTTTATCCACATGGAGTCATGGCAGGACCAGCGCCAGCTCCGGAGTGAAAGGCAGAGCTGGGCTGATTTTGCCCTGATTTCACCTGCAGGAGAACAGGCCAGGAAGCAGGAGAACTGGGGTGCAAAGGAAGTGCCAGGAATGCTCCCATTTGCTTCAGTCCAGGAAAAGGGGTGACAAGTCCCCGGTGTCATGGTGCTGCGGGCAGGCATCCAGCAGAAAGGGCAGCAGGTTGGCCAGGCCTCAGCTGCCACCCACTGCCCCCATGCTGCCGTACAGTGGGTGAGCAGCAGTGGTTCTGGGCCTCCTAGGAATGCTCCATGCTGCCTGCAGATCTGCTGAGGCCAGAGAAGCTTCACTTTGCTTCTCTCCACCGAGAGAATCTGATTCTGAACACACCCCGCCCCCCCCCCCACCACCACACCTGGCCATGGCCCCTGCAGCTCCCAGGGCAAGCAGGGGTCTCAGTCCCCAGGGGAGGCAGTCTCACATGTCACTCAGTGACCCCCCTGCATGGCTGCATCAGGACGGCCCGGCTGGATCCCCCAGCTGGGCCACGTGGTGGCCATGAGCTGGGCAAGGCCTGGGAGGCGCCAGCCTTGAGCCAAACCCAAACAGACACCCGGCCCCGCGGCTCCTTATCGGCCCCCAGCAGTGGGGCTGGGGGGCTGTTGTGTCTGCACGGCTGCCAAGGGAACAAAGTGTGCAGGATGGGGCCTGGTCCGCTGGTCCGCCAGGCCCTGCCCCCGCTCCAGGCCTGGAGGCTGATCCCCAGGGGCCTCGCTCCTGGCCCTTCCCCCAGGGGAAGGGACCAGACCCCGCTGGCTCCTGCTCTCTACCCAGCTCCAGAGGAGCAGGGGGCTGCACTGGGGTCTCTCTCCCACACACCTGCAGCCCCTGCACACTTTGCATCCAGCCCGAGACAGCTGCACCAGCGGATGCCTCCCCTTTTCCCCTCTGTGCCCAGCCCCAGGATGCTCCCCCACCCCCAGCTCGGGGCGGGGGGTCAGAGCTCCCTGGGACTAGAGAGGGTGGCTTGGAGCTCTGCCCACCCCTCCTCACGAGGCATCAGCCTCCTCTACCCTCCGCGGCCCACCACTCGCTCGCTGACACCCGCGGCCCACCCCCCGCCATCCTACCGCTTGCTCTCTGACACCCGCGGCCCACCCCCCGCCATCCCACCGCTCGCTCCCTAACGCCCAAGGCCCACCCTCCCGCCATCCCACCGCTCACTCGCTGAGACCAACGGCCCACCCCCCACCATCCCACCGCTCACTTGCTGAGACCTGTGGCCCACCGCTCGCCATCCCACCACTCGCTCCCTGAGACCTGCGGGCTGCCACCAAGCCCAGTTACTTGCCCTGGTCGCTCTCTGCCCGTTCAGCTTCCTGCAGGGGCATGGCAGGGCCATACCTGGTGTGCTGGGGAGGGCCAAGACTGGGCAAGTTTCATGCACACAGATCTGCCAGTGCCCCTCACTCCCGACCCGCAGGCTGCCCTCTGCTATCCCAGCCCTGGCTGCCCCCTGCCCCGAGCTCTGCCAATGCCCCTCCCCTCCCCCGCTATAACAGCTCTGGTCAACCCCTGCAACTCTGCGGGTGCCCCTCAAGACTGGTCTGCGTTTACTGCCCAGTCCCCTTTCCGCCCCTGCATGGCTGGGCTGGGACCAGCTCCTTTCCCCGCGCTGCCAAATGCCGGTTGGGGGGGGGCTCATTTGTGCCCCAGCTCCAAGCCCTTGTATCCCCAAGCAGCCTCTTTGCAACATGCAGGTTGGGGTCAGGTGACCTGACCCTCAGTGAGGGGCAGCCCAGCCCCCCACACCTGCCAACGGTGCCACCTGGCAGGAGGGGGATGCTGGAGCTGCAGCCAGGCCCGATCCCGCCCAGCGCTGAGGAGGGTGCTCAGGGCCCTGCTGGCTGAGGTCCCAGGGAGGAGCCGAAGCCAGGCCAGGGGCGTGTCCGAGCCGGGGGCGGGGGGGAGGTGGTGTGATAACAGCGCAGGGCGAGGTGCCAAAGGTTAGCCCTGAGCGCTGTGTCTCACAGGGAGGCGCATTCCTACGCGGAGGGCAGACAGAGCGAGCCCACGGCACCAGTCAGCTGCCCAGCGCCCAGGGCAGCCCGCGCCCAGCATAGCACCATGGGGACCCCCCAGGGCAGCCACTGCCTGAGCGTCCTGTTGCTGGTGGGGGTCTGGGCTCCCCCCAGCATGGCCCAGTGGTTCTTGCTGGGCTCCCGGCTGACGACAACATCCCCGCCCATGACCACCGCTGGCCCAACAGCTGCACAGCGCCCCCCAGAGGAGGGGGAAGGTAGGTGCCTGTGGTGACCCCTGGGGGGGGTGGAAGGGACATCCCCCCTGCCCACCATCCGTGCACCTTACAGCACACAGGGGGTGCTACAGACCAGCCATGGGGCAAAACAGGGCAGGAGCCCAGCCACCTCCACCAGCTGGTATGGGAGGGGGTGAGATGGGAGGGGAGTGGGGGCCTAGTTAGAGCAGGGGAGGGCTGGGAGCCAGGACTCCTGGCTTCTGTTCTCAGCTCTGCCACTGACTCACTGAAAAAGTCCCTTCCCTGCTCCATGCCTTAGTTTCCCTGTGATGACCCTGAGGCTCACTCCTTTGGGTGGGCAGTGTTGATTCTGGGGGGCCAGCTGGAGACACCCTGGGGCCTGATTCCCAAGGGACTGAGCATCCCACAGCTCCTGCTGACCTCAGCTCTTGAATCAGCCAGGTCCCCCCAAACTGTGGGCACACTGGCCGATGCTGCCCCCGGTGTCATGCATGCGAGCGTGCCAGGGCGCAGAGCATGGCCGTGGGCTCCCACAGCCAACCTGCTCCGCTCCATTTGCAATCGGGGCAAGCCACAGGGTGTGCAGGCAAAGGTGAGTGGGCACCTGGGTGGGGTGCCACAAGGAGCTTGAGCTTGTGTTTCCCTGGGACCTCCCTCTGCAGGGAGCACTGGCTCATGGCAGAGGGACCTTCTGTGGCATACAGCTCTGCCTGTGCCCATCCTCTGGGTCCCCCGGCACCGCCAGGCCTGAGCTGTCCCACCCTGGGCAAGCGTGCTCAGTCTGTCTGGCACCCAGGGTGCCCAGTATGAGCAGAGGGGCTGAGAGCACGGCTGGCGCGTGGGGAGGGATCCGGCCCCAGGGGGGACTCTCAACCCCTCACAGCCACTGGCTCTGGGGCTCTGGGAGTCACCCAGGCTGCTCCATGTGGCTGGGGCTGGTCCCATGGAGCCCATCCTGACCCCCAAGTTCTGCCCTAGCTAGGACAAACGCTCGCCTTTTTGCTGCAAGGACATGGATCCAGGCCACGGTCTGCCCTGTTCCCCCCCCCCCCCAGCCCCACACCCTGTGTCCAGGGGGGACGGAGCCAACACCCAACAGCTCCCTGCCGATGCCATGCTGCCAAGGGGGGCCTGGCACAGACACCGCTCCCAGCCCACCTGCCCTTGGCTGTTTCAGACAGGGACGCTGGCAACACAGAGCCAACGCCGAAAATCCTGCTGAGCAAACCCCCCCTGGGGCCAGCCCCCCCCGAGCCAATCGCTGGCGCTCAAGGAGGCTGCAGGGGGTGGGACGCAGGCCCCCCTGGAAACACGAGACCAGGTGCGTTGGGGGAG